GGTTTGTGAGAGATCTTTCAAATTGCTGACATGTGTAAAATAGCTGAGCTTTTATTTTTAGGGAATAACCATAATGAATTAATATTAAAAAATTATCAGGGTTCGCGAAAAAAAAAAAAAAGAAAAAAGAAAGAAAAGTTGTTGAAATGCCAATGTTGATAATGTGTACATTTCTATTTACTGATCGTCAGGCGGTAAAGAGTGTACGGCACAGAACGATGGGACCTTCACCAGGACCTCGCCGTCCGCAACTGTCAATGTAGGACAGGTCATAACCTTCGCTTGCAAACCCTACCTGTACCACGTGGGCGGCGACCTGCAAAGGGCGTGTTCCTACACGGGTCAGCTTCTAGGGGCGGCCCCTGTCTGTGGCGGTAGGTCGTAAGAGCAAGTATTTGAGGAAATATAATACATATACGTTTTTTTTATATATATAGACGTACAGATGACATATAACAATTTCACTTGTCTCAATAAAATAAATTGCCTGTCTCACTAAAGTAACTCACCTAAATTTCTCATTATTATTTTTCTTTTGTCTCACTAAACTCTATGCTAAATATTCTCCAATAAAAATCTGTATCAATTAAAGTCGAACCATTTGAAGGTGAGTGGTTTAAAATGTCGTCTCTTTTTCCCCATTCATAACTGCTTCAGCTACGCCCAAGCCAGTGGATGTCAGGCTAGACAGAGTCAGGCGAAGGCTGCAGACCCTCGCAAAGAATTTGGCTTTTGTCATTGACTACGACGGATACAGGTAAAAAAAATAAATAGAATATTTAATTTGTTTAATAATTCGCTTAACAATTCGGCATCTTTATACATTTATGCAAACTAATCACTCACTCACTGATAACGAGATCGTCAAAATGAAAATAAAAAAGCTAGCGAATACAAATAAATGAAATGAATAAAACAAAGTATGGTAAAAGTTGAAAAAAGGAATGCAATAAAACAACGAACGTGTCGGCAGGAAGCCTTCATCAATGAACAAACAACACAAAAAAAAAAATAATCAAATTTAAAAAATAGAACTTAGCTGAAAAGTAATATCCGAGAGAGCAACGAAACAATAACATGATAGTTTAATCTCTACTAGCTACAGCCCGTCAAAAGTGACCGAGTCTTCTCTTCCAGAAATATTTAGTTTTGATAATTATAAATATATTATTATAAATATTAAAAATATTAAATATATTATAAATATAATTGTATATATATATATATTTATATATTT